TTCTCTAGGTCCACAAAACACATGTACACCGGCTGGGCGTACTCCCACGATTTCTCAACAATCTGGTGCAAGGAAAACATATGGTCAGAGGTGCTTCGACTGGGCCGGAACCCAGACTGCTCTTCTTGTATCTTGAGTTCAGTTATTTCGCTGCACCTCGTTTCTAGCACCTTTGCGCAGACTCTACCTGGGAGGCTGAACAACGTAATGCCCCTACAATTGAAGCGTTCCTTTTGGTTTCCCTTCTTGAATACGGTACAATAACTCTCGTTCTCCATTCAACTACTGTCTTTCCCATAGTCTTTGCAGTTTTAGAGACACGTGTAAGCCAGCATATGTCTCGTTTGCCCAATGACTTGAGCAGCTCAGGGCGGATTTCGTCAATTCCAACAATCTTGCCATTTTTCAAGCTTCTCACAGCTTGTGTAATTTCATCTACAAAGAGTAATATCCGTTCCCTTCTGCTCTACAGGTGAATCTTCCTGCGGTTGCGCGGGGTTAGGTGTTCCTCAAAGTACTCCCTCCATTGTCGAAGTGTGTAACTATCCTTGGCAAGACGGTGTCCAGACCGACTCTTCGAGACTCTGTGACTGCCCTTATTTTCTCCTGGGAGCCGGCAGATGGCACCCTAGATGGACTGTCAGAATAGTTTGTTTGCCATTTAGAAATTCGACTCCAGCGCCTCACCGAACTTCTCCCGGGAATCAGCTTTGGCTTTTGCCCCGCTTTGGCTACCGCCTTGTGTGCCTTGACATATCGCAAGCGAGTAGAAGGCTCCTTGTTTACAAGCCATTTCCTGAACGCTGCTTTCTTCTCTTTAACTGCCAGTTGTACCTCTCGTGTCCACCCAAGAAGATGTTTTCTAATCTCCAGGCGGCAGGCCAATCGATTTTTATCTGTAGAATTCGGCGACAGCCTGGAGTATTCCGATCTTAAATACCTGCCACTCGATTTCCACGAGTGATCATCACCGGGATCGATTCAAACCGTGGTGCGATGTTGTTTGCACGTTCGTTCACTTATCTGCTTGTTCCTTCCAAATCTGAATTGCTTTGTCTTCGTGAACACCTGAGCAATGCGTCAATGCTTTTTGATTTTGTGCCAGCTCGGAATGCGATTGAATTTTTTACGCGACATGGTGCCCCCATTTATTTTGATTTTCTTCTGAATTTCAGGTACCTGCGACGTTCTGTGATTTCATGTTTCATGATGAAACAATTATGACCAATCGATAACAATTTGTTTGTGCGCTGATAACAGAAAGATGATACATTAGGAGTAGTTACAAACTTTATTGTACCGTATATTTTGATAGCGGTTTCTTGAAGATTATCGGCTACCTTTACCAATCGTTGCTATTTTGCTGTTGTTCGTTATAATCATCATCTTGAGAGCATATGCAAAACGTTTCCCGTTTGAACCTGAAAGCTATGCTGATTTGTCGTTTATACAGTAAGGTTGTAGTTTAGGCTGTACAACTTATTTTTAGATTAACTTAGCTTAAAACTCATAGGAACAAATCTTAGATCAGCGCCGGTATTAATCCACTAAAATGGTGTAATAAATTGATTTCATACAGACTACAGTTTTAATAATTTGCTCAATCGACCGATCGAAGACCCAGTAGAAGGCGAAGGATAAGAAAGACTGAAAAATGCGTTTAACAGACTTTGTCGCAGACTCAGGTCACCTTCTAACAAAATTGATGCATTAGTGCAGGATCATACACGAAGAAAACTGCCTGATGCTGTTGTTTCCGCCACTCAAAAGGCTTTATGGTGACAACGCTGTACTATTTGTTCTGAAAAAGACAGGCTATTCACACCTAATACTCCGCAATGAATCAACAATTCAGGTTGCTACGAGGACCCTTCACAATATCTGAACACAGGGAGTTTCAGCAAGACAGAGAAATAAATTAGACTTTAGAAGTTGCTGCGCGGCACGTAGACATGGATTGCGTGCAGTCTGGTGCAAGCAAGGGTTCAAAGCTTCCATGAGACAGACAGAAGCAACACGTCGCATCTGATACAACATGATTTAACTCGTAACTTTGAGGTGGACGGGCCTTTCAGTCATGTTCCGAGCATGGAATGCCAAGCCGGGCCATTATTTTCTGTTGATATCCATTCAAACCGACGACAGGAGTCAATTGCTGGTCTTTTGCACGGCATATCTCAACCAGTCGTTCGAGAAACACATAGACCGGATGAAACAGGCTCACAAAGACACTCACCTACCATCTACGGGTGCATTCGCCATGCGATGGTGAGACCATATGCAGTCTTCTTACCGATAAAGTGCACATGATCATTAAATTACATGAGTAATCAATACTACATTTCAGCGTAACAGAAGCAGAACGAAACTTGAAAAGAAAATTATGGCAGAATCAAAGAACGTACTATAGAATAATGAACAAAGTTAGAGCTTCCAGTATTTATGCCGTCAAGGAGAGTGATCATTTTTCCAAAGTTACGTTACGATTGAATGTTGATTGAACTTATTCAAGACGGAAACCGGAAAGGTTCACTCAGTAAAAAGTAAGCAATACTGTATAGAACGTTGTATTCTATGCTTACAGTAGCTTGACTCCTGACGCAAGTTTTATAGCCAGATGTTGATTAGAGGTCACGACTTTGATTGGATGACCGTGAAATAGCAGGAAAGCTGTGCTGGGCAAGGAAAACAATATAATGGGATGATTACATGCTACGGCAAATCTGATGAATCGGAAATTTGATGCAAGTAGGTCCCGCAACCTTGCAGCATCATAGTTCAAGGTCACCCCAGGCTTGGAATTTAAATACTCTTAGGCTTACTCTCAACTATTTGTACAAGTTAGTCGAGTGTTACTTTATTCTATTTTGAAAGGCATATGCTTTTGAAGATAAAAGCGTCATTCCTTACCTTCGGATAACTTTCTAAACAATGTAACGGAGGAATTTTTGAAGCAAGGTAAGTTGATTAAGAACTATCGTTCAGAGAAATGTCTGTAACAAGACATGATTGTAGAGAAATGGGCGAATTTTGACAAATAATCGAGATCAAACTTAAGCCTAAAAATTTTGCTCACAACTACTGCGTTTACTGAAGCAAAATTAATTGAAAGTCATCTGCTAAAAGTCTCATTTCAAAAAAGACTTTAAAAAAAAGATCTCAGCAAGTTTTAGTGAACTGATATTGCTGTTGGCAAGTAAAATCGGTAATCAAGGTTATCAAAGTTATGAATTTCAGGCTGCACAAACGAAAGATACGTTACAAGATCGATTAGCCCTTTTTGTCTGGCATTGCAGAAGCCGTGTGTTTTAAAGGCAGTGATTTATAGCCGAATCAAAGGATGGAAGCGATACTGTGACAGCATAATTTTTGCTGGCACAAGACTGCTTTGACCAGCTAAAACATCTGAAAATTAAAAACAAACGCTGTCATAATTCTTTTACAATAAAAAAGCAAATCAAGCATGAAAATGAAATTTTGTTTATCACAGAACTTTCAAAATCAGCACAAACAAAAACAGTCGTAAATATGATATGCATAAATTTCAAATTTTAAGTTTTAGATAACGTGCTGTAAATACCCTTAAAATAACCGCCAACTGATCAATCACAGGCCAGTAAAGAGAACTCGCCGTGTCGTTTAACGTGTGCCAAACGGATGGAAAGTGCGCAGGAATCAGATGAACAATTTTCACACCTGAAATGTGAAACTCAGAAAAGTAATGCTTACAATACAATCAACCTCGTTCAAAGAATGGAAGATGATCATCTTCTACTGCATAACCGAAAAGCATATCTCGCTTAAAGATCTGACGATTTAAGGGCAAACAACTTTTGATCTTCCTTAGTTTTTCTTCAGTGTCAGGAAAATATTTATATACTTTCTTGTCATTCACTTCATAATTATATATGTAACAATTTGGGGCACCAAGTAAATCCAAAAGGACGAAAGCATCCTATAAATATCTGTCAAAAAACAGTAGAGCTAAAGGAAGGAACTTGCAATTCGATGTAATTCGGTAACGGAAGGATGGCCATACGCCGGATAAGGATGTGCTTCCAATTCCTCACACAGTTTGCGAGATCCATACAGCGAATCTCGCTTACTCCAATTCTTGAATGCCTCTTCTCCATCAAGAAATAACAGCTGAAGGCTGACGGTCTGAAATAAAAATCACAGAATAAATAAAATAAATGAAACAAGTTCAACGTTAGCAAAGTGTTAAGAAACATTCACCTGTTTTAAACAGTAATATAAACAATTATTGCTAAAAAAATCAGCTGTTTCAGGTTTTGTCACTGGACACAGACAGTTTGAGCACTCAATTCGAATAATAAATAGATTATGTTGAATCAGAGTATTAAATACATGTCGTGCCAAAAAATTTCTTTTCAACCCAGCGGGAAATCAAAGAATGAAAAACGAACTGTTCAAATCATTGAAACCAACAGGTTTCTAAGTTTCAAAGTGCAAGAAAATTTACAATGAACAATCAGCTAAAAAATGTGAATTTGTTTACACAGATGCGATTAGTTCACACGAACACATATTGGCGAACGATCGGAAGTAGTTAGTTCTATTGATTAAATAGGGAGCGGAATTAAAACAATGAAAATGATCGTATGTTAGCAGCAAAATAATTAATGTTCTGCCGAAGAGTACCACGCATTATCAGATTGATAAAAACTTTTGCATCAGTCAGTTGAACATCAGCTAACTAGTCTGAACTGGGGGAATGTCAATGAAATGAACACAATCGTAATATTACTATGAGCATCGTCTGCGTTACGCAATTAAAAAATAACATAATCAAATATGCCCCTAACACTCCAAGTGCTCAAATACGCTGAAATGCCTAAATCCCTCATGTCAGTTAGGAGCAGGAGAGTTGAGTAACATACAGGGCAATCTGATATTGAACGAGTTATTCGGTAAATAACATACATCTGTGCACTAACCGCAATTTATAAATATATAAACGTGACACAAACCATTTAACAACTATCATGATAACTAATAAAGCATTACCATAAAAAGTTCGTTATATTTTTAAAATTATTAATTTAATATCAATATTTATCATGGTGTAAGGAAACGAAATTCCATCTGATATGTTCATAAAAGATCCAGATTGTAAAACTATAAACGATAATTCAGTAGCAATGTTAACGGATATGTTTCATTTTGTGCCATTTCTATCCATCTTGATTTAGCGAAGATCTTCAGCTCCTCTTACCATCGAAGGTTCGTTTACACACTCTTAAAACCCACTCCAATGCCTCATTAGTCAAGCGACGATCCATTCGTGTTGCAACATGCGTTTCGCACTGCCACCTTTTCATTCAACCAATGACATCCCATTCACTTCCGAATATTTTCTTGCTATTCCAAATAAACACCCTTCAGCGCTTCGTTTCTTGATCTGCAATTTATAAACAGACTTAGGTTTAGCATTCACGCCTTGAACCCATATATTAGTATATGGAGCACAACCGGACAAAATACTTTCAGTTTCAATCACAAAGGCAATTTCATGGACAAGAAGATTTTCAGGGTTATAACAATGCTCCATCACATTTTCATTCTTCCAATGATTTCACACTGTTTATCTTTTGTTGCTAAGATGAACTGTTCCCAGATAGACAGTTTTTCACTTCTTTAAACTTAGTCACTTCAACACGTCACAGAGCTACGCAATTGTTGAATATAACCTGTGTCCCTTTCACATTCATTTTCAGTTCACTTTTAAGGCTAACGTAGTTCAACTCCTAGATCCTTCTTTAGAGATACTTTGATAAATTTAAGAGGATCAGAATCCCATCTGCAAACCATAGGTGCTTGAAGAGTGCCCATGCAGGTTCGGCTCTTGATTTTTCCAAAAAGTATCCTTGAAACCTCTTTTAGGGAGATCGCAAATAAATTCACTGCTACTGCGTCTCCCCGTCATACGCCATTTTCGATTTTGAACATGTTATGCTTTCATGAAGCTTCCCTCTATCAGTTGTATTCCTGTAAACCATAGCGATCAAGTAAATGAATATTTTCTCGATTATCTGGCTGCTCTCCGATCTCTGGAATCCAGCACAAAACGGACGTAGAATGAGTCAAAAACCGTCTCTAAATCGCAGAACTCCAGGCAGCGAAAAAGCTATTTGTCTGAAATAGTTGCTGTACCAATCAGACCAACTCCGCCGTTGCCGGTTCCAAACCCGGATGAGAAAGAAGGATGGTTGGAGACCATGGCAAGTCTCCGTAAAATTTAGCCACCTGCCATTCATGGTATTGACGCCATCGAAAATTATACCCGCTCGGTCGTCGCCTGGGTTACCAAGGGCCGTGCAGGCTGTTGCGGGAATC